TCCCTTGGTAAACATAGCAAGAGCTGTTCAGGTTTTGTTCTAACTAGAGATAGCCTAAAACATGACAAGATCCAGACAGAGAATAAATAGCCTTTGACCAGGAGAAAGTGTGCATTAAACTGGCCAGAGTGAGAGTGCACTTGTCCTGCAGCAACTACAGCTTCCCCTCACAAACAGAGCTGTTTTGCTTGTTTTTTTCAGAAGGCTTTCCAACAAGGCTCTGTCTTCTCCAACAAGGGAAGGACCCGTGCCCGCTGCCTTCTGTGGCATCACCCCACTGATATTTGGGACAAAATACTGTGATTGTTTGGCCTAGTGAGGTGCCAAGTCAAAAGGACTCAGCTTTAACCTGAATTTAGGCGGGGATGGTCACAGCAATGAAGATGAGCTGATCAACTCCTGAGCAAATTTTGTGCTGAACCTACTTGAGTCTATTGTGCAATGCCTTAGCCATGACCTTCAGTTTGCACGGCCTTGGAATAGATCATTCTTATCTTTCACAGTACTTTCAAAATAAGTCCAAACATTTTAAAACTTCTCCAATTGTTCCAGAAGGCAAAAGACTTTTCAAGTTGCTGCTGAGGCTGGTGAGGCAACTGAGAGCTATTTTAGGAGCTCCCCACCACATATGCTGAGTTGTGAGTTCAGCCAGACCAGGGAAAACAGTATTTTACAGCTCGTGTTTGGTTACTGCTGCCAAGGAAGTTAGGGGTGCTTTCAAGAAGGCTGAGATAAGTAAATCTGGGAGGCTACCTCTTTTACGGGTTGGAGCCATCATGACTGGAATCTCCCCTTCAAAAGGAAGTCTTCCTGGATGAAGTGGAGCCCAAGCCAGATGGAGTAGATACTGCTCTTGCTGGTATACACATTCATCCCACCGCCAGTGGGTTCTGTGCTGTCTCATGGCATCTCTGTTTGCCCAACCCAGCCCACAGAGCTTTTTTCCCACTGGGTCTGCATGTGGAATTTTTAGAAATGAAAATGTGTTTATCACATAAGTACAAAGCATAGAAAATTCCACTAAAGCAACAAACAACCCAAGTAAGCTTTTAAAATTTTTTTTACAGAGGTTTAAATCTTTGAGAAACTTCAGAATTGTCTGACAAAATTCAGAACCTCTAGTTTGGAATTTTTATTTTTGCACCTGGATTTTCTTCGCATACTCATGACATGAGCAGTTTTGCATATGTCAAAACACTTACTTACTTGAACAAAGCGTCTCCTGCTTTTAATTTTTGATGGTTTGATGACATACCAAGGACTTGATTTAATCTAGAAAATGAGATAAAATGTCCCAATTCAGTAAGAACAGCTGGCATAAATGAGGTTAACTGTTGTAACATTCTTTTAATGTTACATTATGCCATGCAGGTTTAAAGATGCCTATGTCCTATGAGTGACGTGGTGAAATGGGGGGAAACTGTAAAAATACATGACATCTCATAAAACATATTTCCGGTTTCCAAGACAAATACAATGATAATCAGGAGTATTTTCCCTCAGTTTTCACTCTTTTTGAGGCAATACCTTAAAACTTTGTTTTTGCTGAAATTTAAAGCACAGTGCAATTCCCACATGTTGCCTTTCCCTGGGGATTAGCCTTCCAGCAGTGCTCTCTGCAATGGGCATTGAGGCTGCTGCTGGCACCTGTGCACCCTAGCACCACAGGAATGTCAGACTTTGGCTCTACTTCATGCTCTGAGGGCCGCTGTAAACCCTGAATTATCCCGTAGCTGGTGCAGTGAGGCCCAGCATGGGAGGATGGGAAGGACATCAGTGGGGGCAAACACAGCAGGTGCCAGCACGTTGCTCTGGTGTGTGATAACCTCTCTGAAGATTCGCCTGCTGCGTGAACAATGGTTCCTTCTGCTGTTCCTAACCACCTTGGAAAAGGATGGCATTAGATAGTGCTAGTTAAGAAAAACAGCTGTACTCCACCTCTGACATCCAAAGCAAAAGATGGAGAAAAAGTGTGCATTGGCAGAGACCTCAGAGGTGCTCCCTGGAGAGCAGCAGAGGAAGCTGCTCCTGACGCCTTCCCCTTCAGGAGGGAGAGGTCCTGCTGTGAATGACTGGCCTAGTGTTTGTCTTGGATTTGTTGTTTCAGTAGAAAATTCATACTTCACCAGAACTTGATCTTAAATCTTTCTTAGGTGCCTCTTAAGGCTAACCAGGCTTGTACACCATTAACTAATTCATGGATGAATGTCCTGGAGAAAAGTTGCTGCTTAGCAAGCAATAAAGCAATTCATAAAAGACATACAATAAAAAAACAAAGTCCTTTTACTCATTAAATTAAACCCATTGTCATTCATCCACACTTCTCAGGAGAGGCACATTTGCAATATCAAATTTTGTTATCAACCTCACTTTGCATCTGTTAGTCAAAATTTATGGCAAGGCTGTCTCATTTATACAGAAGATTTTGCCATGCACTGTCACTCAGCCTAGCAGCCTCCCATGGAAAAGCCACAACTGAAGCTGAAATTCTACTCTGCCATAGCAGTAATAAAATTATACTGGCTTTCAGAGGTGGATCAAAGTCTCTTCCTGAGGAAGGCAGCTACCTTTGGGTGTCTTCTCTGAAGCTTCTGCCTCTGGAGAAGGCAGCAGAGGGGAGGTCAGGAGTTGGATGCGCAGGGGATGTGCAGTGGAGCTGTGTTTTTTGCTCTGCAGGCTGGATACGGTGGCTGTCACCAAAAGGCCAGCACTAACCAAGTTACACAGACAGCAGCAGTCATGTTGGAAGTTTCCCTGGAGTAAGACAAATGCACAGCCTCTCTTCCCTTCTCACCCAGAACAAGCACTTCAGGGTGAGCCCATTTCACTCAGTTTTTCACCAGAGGACATCAAGGTGAGAAGTTGCCTGCAGAAAGTGCCCTGAATTGCTGGGTCCTGGGGGATGTGGCTGCATTTCCAGCCTCTTAAATCTCCTACCTGAACATCTTTGCTTTTCCACAATGTCTTCACCTTCCCTTGACAAAACTTTGTTCTGTTATTATAAAAGGGCCTCTGGGATGACAAGATGATATTGCTGTTAGCAGGAGACTCTCAAGGTTTGGTTTTCTCACACAAAGGGATGTGTAAGGAGCAGGGGAGTGTCCAGCTCCCACCTTATGGACCTCATGGACCATGCTTGCGATCCATGTGCAGAGAAAATCTCAAGAGATGTGAGCACACACGAGTGAAAAACAAAGTGATAAGTGGAAAGGGTTTCATAAAATGCAACTCTTTAAATGATACAATGCCACGGGAGGTCATTCTTCAATCCATATCTAAAGTCACTAGTGATTTTCATTGCTGTCAGCAATGCTCTTCCTATCTTTTAATCCTCATTAATCTTTGTCTGGAAATAATTTTTTTCTTTTTTCTTTTTTTCTCTTTTTTTGATTCTATTACTTTTTCATATTCTCTGCTTTTCTAAGGCCAGTTATTAAAATGTTTGCTGGGTTAATATGTAAGTTGTGGACATGATTATTTTTTACGAGGCTTTTATTTAAGCAAGAAGCCCAGGTAACACAGTTAGAACTCATTGCCAGCACAAGTCACACCATTCCAGCTGCACTGGGAAGAAACACTCCTTGTTTAGCTGCTACAAGCTACACCTGAGTCTGAAGACAAAGTTTCCTACTCTAGCTGCATCAGCCACCCTTTCCTAACACAGGCTAAACCCTGAACATTGCTTCACTTGGAATAGTAAGTTTGCAGCCAGTGTGTTCTGGTGGCTGTATTCACAGCTAAGGTGAGGAGATGTAGAGCTGAGAGTACAAATGGTTTGTGGACCTCTAACCAGGTATGGCAGCTCAAAGGGACATGAGCCCACCACTTCAGAGCAAACTACTACAGACAAATAAATGGGAGGGAAATTAATGCCTTGCTCTTTTAGAAAGTGTCTCTCTTTCTTCATGCTCTGCCAAATTTTTCTGTGAGAAATGAATATTGTGAAGTAACTTTGTACAGTTTAGGTGCAGCCCAGAACCACCAGCTGCAAAGTTGACAGCGGTGTCTGCTTTCTGGCAGTGCTGGCACATGTGACCTGCAATACTTCCTTGGGCCATAATCTGAAAAATAAAATTGAAAAACTTTGATTCTCTCTAGTTCAGTGATTCAAGAATCTGCAAAATTTTCCAGCTGAAGGTTATCAGAATTTCATGCTGATCACCTCATCCATAAGCTAACAAAAGGCTTATCTTTTCCACAATACCTGGCAGTCCTCTGTAGGCACATGTTCAGCATTTCAAGACTAACTTAAAGGTCAAATTTACTGTATGGGCAGATTGGGTGAGCTCATGGTTGAGGAAAGACCATCTAAAGGTGACCTGTCTAAGTTTGTACACACACACACTCAGAGGTCAGACACATTTCTTTCTGGTCTAGCCTCGTCTTAGACATGACCCATGTGCCCAGAGAATCAGGATAAAGCTATACTAGAAATGTTAGATGTGGGTTGAATCTGACACCTGAAACGTAAGATAATAATAAGAGTCTAACAAAAGAAATGTTTGAAGAAAGAGATGCAGCAGAATTACTTAAAAGGGTGTTCTGACCCTTCTTACTAAAACCTGAATTATGACAAATTGCTGAAGTACTTTGTGTTTAAGCAATCTACTCCCAAATTTTGAGTAGGCCATTATGGCATGCAGACTGTCCTGCTGGGAAACAATGACCAGTCCCTACATCCTGGGGATTTCTCCACTGTATCCCACAAACCTTTTGGCCAATTGTCAGTTTTCAGCACCTCTACCTTCCACCTGCCAGGAAAACCACAGGTGCTTGACCAGAGAAGAGGAATTTGGAGATAGCAACTACTTTTTCACCAAGACACTTCAATAACTACTGGCTTGCTTGTGTGCATTTCTAAAAGTAGGACTCACGTGCTATCTCCCCTCCCAGCTGTCCCTTCTATCCTCCTCCTGTGAGCCTAATCTTGTGCCACACTTGTCCCCCTGGTCCTCCTGCCACCTGACCCACCCAGCCTTGGCTGGATGCCGTGGCCACGGGGCCCTGGAAAGCCAAAATTTGGCAGCAGCCTCTGAGTCTGGTGCAGGCTCAGGCAGCCCAGCAGCTGGAGGACACGTGCCCAGCACCCAGCAAGGCCCACATGAAGAATAAGGACTGCCACCACCTGCCAGCATGAGGAACTGGGAGGGAAAATCAGCAAGGTGAGATTCAGCAGACAAAGATGCTGTGCTGAGGAAAGAGACCAAACGCCAAGTGGGGCACAAGCAGCAGCCTTGGAAAAAAGGTGTTGTGGGCAGTAATGAGGTAGAAGCTGTCTGAGCTTCTCCTGTGGAGTTGTGGCACTGGGCCCCCTTGGATATTTAAGCCAGGTTGAAGAGAAGCAAGAATGAGCAAAGGCAGTGAGAATGGGGACCAAGAGGAGAAGGGTGATATTATTTGTTAGAAGGAGTTGAGAGGGGACACAAAATATTTTTGCATTACTTCATGAAGAAAATTACTTTAAAACCCCCACCCTTCATACCCACTAAGGAGAGGACATAGCAATGTTTCATCTTCAGGAAATTTAGGTTATGTTCCCTTAGCTATGAAGATAATTAACACATCTCCTAGAGGTGTGGACTTTTCTTCATTAAGGGTGTTTTTTGGGAGCAAAATGTTTGCCTGGATTTTCCACGGCCCTGCCTCAGAGCAGGAGGATGATCTCCTGAGGTCACTTCTAACCTCATGCTCCTATGACTTGCCTTAAGGACTTAAAGTGGCTTTAAAACAAGACCAAAAAAAAAAAAAAACCCCAAAAAAAACCCCCAAAAAAAACCCCAAAAAACAAACAAATAAAAAAGCACAGAGGCTTCTGTACTTTCCTACCTAAGTCACAGGTGTCTATGTACAGTAGCAATCTGTTATCTTTTCTGCTGGTTTGACCGTAACAGGTATTGAGTAATATTGTCCCACTGTGCTGACGCACGAGCCAGGGTGTGCCCCCGACCCCAGGGAAGTATTGATACAGCACAATCACAGAATCACAGAATCTGCTGGGTTGGAAGGGACCCTTCAGGATCATGGAGTCCAACTCCTTCTGGACCAGACATATAAATGCAGGTGAAAATATAGATATTCCTGCATTGGGTCATGTTTGTTTCAGAGGCAGCCTGCTTTCCCTGCTGAGGGCACATGTTGGACCTCCTGGAAGGGACAATGGGCCAGACCAGGTAAAGGTGCAAGGAGCAAAGCCCCACTGACTGTGAGCAGCAGGACTGGAGTGGGCAGGCACATGTCAGGGAGAGGCAGCTCTGTGCGAGCACCTGCTTATCAGAAAACCCAGGCCCTGGTGAAAGATGCAGGCTGAAACCTTTCGGGGTGTCCCCATCACTGTTGCCAGGCCACCAAGGCAGATGTCTGGGAGGGTGTCTTTCTGGGGCAGGAGGATCCAGACAGTCTGTAGAGGCAACTGTGGGCAAAGCTCCAGTGCTTGAGTGAGCAAATTGTGCCAGAGGACAAGAAGATGCTCATGGCAGCACCATCCTCCTCTCCTGCTGGCAAACAAGAGTGATGGCTGCCTCCATGCCCAGCAACAGGGCCGGCAGTAACCTCACCAAACAAGGTCCCAGCATAGTCAGCCAGTAAACTGTACCAGACTTGGGCTCCCAGACAGAAAAAACAACCCCCTGCCTGTGCCATGTTTACATTAGGAGTTTATTTTACAGTTCATTTCACAATCCGTTTCTCTTCTCCCTTTGCTGTGAGGTGATTTATGGTGCTGCAGATCCTATCTCCCTGCCCTGCCCAGGGCACAGACCTGGCAAAAAACCTGCCAGGGGTCTGTCCTTGTCCTTGTTGCTCTTTCATCTACAACTGCCTTTACCTATGAGTAAAACTAGAGCAGTTCCTTCCAAATAATGATAAATTAGTCTCTTGCTCCCTTTTGCTGGTGTTGGTGTTTTGAGGGGTGGGCAACTCAGTGTCTTGGGAGAGAAATGAGTGGACAAGCAAGGTGCCAAGGGCTACTCTGAAACTCCCTCTGGCTGACTGCTCTGCTGGTCCCACTGGTGGGGTGTTGAGGACTCCTGGCATGCCATGGGACTGCAGACCCTGTACCCCTGGGCGAGGAGGTGCCATTCCTGGCTGTGCAGCTGTTGGCACGATCCATGGCTGCAGGACATGGCTGGTCCCTGCCCGTCCTGTGCCGCTAGGGACTTTCAGGGGCTGTTGGGATTAAGTGGGATTAGTTGCTCAATGGTACATTTAAATGCTGATTTTTATGTTTCCTGCTTTAACGACATTCAGGGAGGTGGTTTAGCTTCACTTGTTTAATCAAGAGCTCCAGAGCTGAACGTGCAAAAATTCTGTGCTGCATTTTACTGAGAAAATAAGAGATCTGATCAGAAGGTCTGGTGAGAAATCCCTGAATAATACTTGACCTTCCTTGCTGTCTGTGTGCTTTGAAGGCAAAGGATTTAGTACTTCCTTGTGCAGAGCCAGGTGTTCCCTATGAATAACTGGACCCAACCTAAAAGCAGGAGGAAGTGTATTTAAAAAAACAGAGGTGTGGTAATGACACTATCAAGCTTTTTGTGTGTTGTGTAATCCATGTGCATGTGGCTCCTGAAGAGCCTGCTCCCCAGTCATGCCTAAATCACTCCATCAAAACAATGAAAAACCCTAATAAGTTGACTGGCAAGAGGGGTTTGTTCCTTTTCTCCAAGAAAATGGTGTTCACCTTATATAAATATGAAGTTCTGTGGACTGAATGCTTCCGTGACAGACACAGTGCCTTGTAAACATCAAAGCCAAAAGTTCTGGAAGAAGTTTTCTCTTACAGTTTTCTTTATCACCACTAATTGGCCTGATGATGACGATGTGCAGATGGTAAGAAACAGAGGAGTTTGACATAGAGGGCACTGAGAACCTATGATTACCTAGATTAACAGCTAAATAAGAGTGTCTCCACAAGTGTTAGCAATTTACACCTTTTGAATTGCAGTTGTACCAAGTGGAGGGAGTTTAATGCTTAAGAACATTAAGAAATTGTTTTAATGTTCAACCTAATGCAAAGTAGAAGTCTCGAAAAAGGGCACCGATTTGGCAATACTTGTGTTTGGGCTTTAGGTGACTGGTCCAAATTTAGTTCATTCCTACAATGTTAACAGTTCTTAGAGGCAATATAAAAATACTTGCTTTTCCCTCCTTTCCTACAAAAAAGCACATGTGCTTTTATTAAACTGTGGAATGATTCTTTATTGTATGTAATAATTCTCCAGACACTGGAGGATGATGTTGGAAATAGAGAAACAAAATGGTCAGGTAAGTACAAACTTTTCTACTTTTGTACACATGACTAAATACTTGAAGGGAAGATCATTGCACCATTCATTTCGCCATTTTATGTGTCAATGACAGCACCAAACAGTGCATTAAAATAATAAACTAACACTCTAGCTATAGAAACTGACCTTAGATTAGCTGGAATTCTATCTGATAAGCCCCAGTAAGGCTTAAACCTTTTGCACCAACACTATGAAGCTGAGATAGGTGTTGGGGTTTCTTTTCCTCTAACTCAAAGTGCACATTTTAGGAAAGGCAGCAAAGTTGGCACTGCTTGGCAGCCTCATTTGGGGACGTTCTTAAAAGCTTGTAAGGAAGTCAAAGGTAAAACTGAAAAGCTGAGGAATGGCAGCACCAGCAAGGGCAAGAATGATTTCTGCAGGATGATCAGGAGGTGGATTTCGTAAGAGAGAAACCTTCTCCCTGGATAGTTTTTCATAGCTAGCAACCATGCATTGCAGTTTCTGTCTTGCAACACAAGCTGTCTGCAGAGATTGTGTCTCCCTACCTGACCCGCATGCCCTGAAAGAAGGCCATGGAGCCTCAGGGGAAAAACACAGTCCTGGGGTGTCCTGTGGACCCCAGGTAACCTTTCAAACCTGGTGTAAACTCTGCTCAAGAGTCATTTATAGAAAACAGGCTTCCTCCTTGCAAACCTCCCTTCACATGGAGCAAAAGTGGAGAGGTTGTCCCCTTCACCTCCTGCCAACCTCTCTGGCCAGACCAAACTCAAAACCCCAAGAGAAAAGATTCAGCTGATGTGTTGCAACATCCTTCCTCTGTTTTTGCCAGTCCTGTTTCTCAGTCTGTTGGCTAAGGTTTAGTATATCTCAAGGACACCCCAGTTCCATGGGAGGGAATAGGAGAGATGCAAACAATTTTGAAAACACTTGTTTACATTATTTTGTAGATTTAAAATCTTAAATTAAATTCAACCACCCATGAAATAAAAATAACCCAAAGGAAAATGTTAGTAAAGGGCTTGCCAATATATCCAATGAGAACTACAACATGGTAAACATAGTGCTACTAAAAGGAACAGAGATATACCTGCCAAAGTCTGGATTTATCTGGTTTGTAAGTCAAATTTAGTGCTCCTTGAGGGTAGCCACTTCCCAGTTCCTGAACAGTTTGACTCCTGAAGCTCTGCTTCTTGCAGTAGTCTCTGTAGGTTTGGGTCTCCATAGTTCTTTTCTACAAAAATCCTGGCAGCTCATGAGGAATGGTTTTCTAGCACTTTATTCCATCACATCTCTCAAGAATATATTGTAGGATTAAGGCAAATATATGATATATTTTCAGAGCAGTTTGCATTTATCAGTGCAATATATGTAATACTTACACAGGTAAAACTTCCCCTAAAAGTTCGTGCTGGACAAACAGCATAAGCACAGGGCTCTCCCAGCCTTGCCACTGTGGGACAGGGCCAGGGCTCCAGCAGCTGCATCTGGGGAAGGACAGCTTCACGTGAGACTGGCAGCTCAGGGCTCTGCCATGGAGCAAGCTGTGAGGGCTGTGGACCATGGGCTGCAGGCCAGATGTAAAGGAACAAACTGCTGGCATTAAAAGAGCTCCTGCTCTTTATTTGGCATCCAGAAATGGCCTGGGATACTGGGAAGGGACAGATCAGAGATCTGTGGGGCGCTACTTTTTCATGCTGATTGACGGGGACTGCATTAATAGGGCTGCTGAATGTTGATAAGGGCTGCTGTAGTGAGAGAAGCCAACTGATATGATAAGATGTATTTTTGTGTCATGTTTCAAGCCATTTAATAGCATTGGGTGGGGGCGGGGTAAACAGGAGCAAAAGTTGGGTTAAAAGATGTCCTTCATGTTAGAGAAACCTATTTGAACTTGCTTTCCTGTAGTTTAAATGAAAAACTGGGTTAAATTAGTTCTGATAAAGCACTAACTGCATGAATTATTGTTCACAGGCAGGAAAAGTGCAAATTCCTATCACTATTCTGCCTATACATCCTTTTGGGTTTGGGGTGGGTTTTTTATCACCCCTCACAGGACAGTACTTTAGGCCTTTCCCTCGGTTTGCTGAAGTGAACCTTTCCTTCCAGGCAAGTGGAGTACTGGGCTAAGATTGAGCTTTGTGATCCAATCCTTCTACTTGCAGCCACTCCTCACCCTTGGCATGAGGTTGAGGTGACACATGGTATAGATGATTTCCTTCAAATAAAAAGCAAAATGTTCTTCTGAAGGCCTGAAATATCCATGGTCTGAAAGCTCCTTCAGGAATATAATTTATGGTGCCTCTTTTGGGGTAGGGGTGTCAGGTAGACATATCCCATACATTTTTATCTGCACAACATGCATGTTTCTTTCTATGATCCTTCACCCAGAATTGTATTTTAATGTTACAACTGAAGATGTGTATTTAATTATTGTGGTGCCTGTAAGAAACTCCAGGTTTCTCTGAAGTCCTCTGACAATGCAAAGTGTTTCACAATGTATGAAGAGGTAATTTGCATGGAGAATCAATATGCTAATTATTGTGTCAACGCTTATTGTTTTGGTGTGTTTCTTGGCTCTTTGTCCCAGGATATACAGCCACGTATGGTCCCAATTCCTCTGCGAGATGTAAGATGTGCCTTGGCTCTGCGACAGTCACAGGACTTGTTAAAAGAGATGCAAACCAAAGAAGACTGGCACAGCTTGTACTGTCTTACCCAGTCTAGCTTCATTCTGTCAGGGAACATCAATTAAATCAGATGAAGAAATTAGGGAGCTTTTGTCTAGCTGGTGAGTTAAATAAATATTGATTAAAATAAAATTATTGCTAAGCAGATGAGTCAAAATAACCACCATACCAATTCGTATGTTTATATAAAGCCAAGTGGTGTGGGAATACAAGTGTCAAATATAGGCCCAGAGATGTTCTCCTTCTTCGTTTTATTTATTTCAGAGATGGTTGAGCTCTGAGTCAGGGACCAGGAATAGTTGTGCCAGGCGCTGTGCTGCCTCAGAACAAAAAGATGAACTTTGCCTCTTGGCTTTGTCGGCAGCCCAAGCCGCCAGGCTCTTTGGGACACTGGGGCCAGGCACGCGGGAGGAGCGTGAGACGCAGGCGGACAATATGGCTTTTAACATCACGGCTCCCAGCAGGAAATGGCACAAGCACAGGGCACACACAACCTGTGCTGCAGAGCTTGGGGCCACTGAGTTTCTGACAGATAACACTGTGATGGGGCTATGAACCACCCAGGACAACAGCCAAAATTGTCCTGGGAGCTTGGAAAAAGCCACCAGAAAACACCGTGTCTCTCTGCTAGACCTGTTAGCTCCTAATTGCGCCACAGTAACTAATGACCAAACTACCTAGGAAGAATTACAGTGCAAACTTGGATTACACTTCCAGTTTTAAAGTGCTTGCTTTAGGGGCTGTGTATACGTGTGGGGCACGAGGAAGGCTGGTAGAGAGGCACTGTGGATTGGGATAAGCAGTCATAAGAGAAGAATGTGGCTGTTTCCTCACCCTTACTGTCCCTGGATGCAACAAAAACAGTGCAGGCAAAAGGGACAGGTGTGCACCTGAGAGCTCCCTATTGTCCAGGTGTTCACAGCACAAATGAGAGTGGCTGGACTTCCTGCTTTTGTCCAAATGTCCACTGCAAACTTTCTGGCAGATCACCGTGATCTGGCAGATCACTATTGTTTCCCCCTCACCTGGGAAAAAGGCCGCTGGATTATTGTTTTGCCAGCCAGCTGCTAAATTGCTGAACCAGCAGCACACAATCAAGTCAGACACCTCACTTGACCCAAGTTTGCTTACCCAACCCTGTTACTCACCTCTCAAGGAACAAAATGGCTCTTACAGCCCCCTGCATATTTCTGCCCTGGGACACATGTATTTGTTGTGGATCCCAGACTTGGGGGGCCAGCTTAGAGGCTGGTGGTGGGTGACACTGAGTCAGTCTTGCACCTTCTCCATGCTTACTCCTCACCTCCAGCATGAGGAGAATAGTTATTTTCTCTCTCTCTACTGCAAAGATAACAAGCAAGAGCAGGGAAGGGTTTATAATATATTTATATTCAGTAATAATTTTCAGGTATACTTTTTCTAGGTCTCTGTGATCAAGAGCTAGGAGAAAAATATTTGTAAATGGCGCTAGTCTGAACCTCAGGCAACCATCAAAGCTTTCATTTCACAAGTACTTCTAGTTTTGCTTTATCAAGGATTCCAAGGGCTTTCTGAGCCTAATGACAAGCCCTTTATTTGAACAAGCACATATTCGGGTAGGTTTTCTCCAAAAGTTGAGAGATTATATACATTCAGGGTGAAGCTAACCTTGAGATGACCTGCTCTGCTGCTGGCTAATCTCTTTCTTTTTTTGTTTGTTTGTTTGGTTGGTTTTTTTGGGTTTGTTTTACTGGAATATTTCAGGGCTACATTTGTTAGACTCATGTTCTAACACTTCATGCTTTTGCTCTACATGTCAGCCTTTAATTTTCAAATTGCCAGCTACTATCAGGTAACTGAGGTCAACAGAGGTCTCTTTCTTTAGCTGTAACTTAGAAAGCAGAGGAAGACTAGAGACTATTGAGAAGTCCCACTCGAAATTTGACAGGGTGCTTTTTCTCCTTTACCTGCAGTAATTAAGCTGGCCCCCCACAGCCCCTGGAAAGCAGCTCTGCCAGCGGGACACCTCCGGCAGCCACTCTCACAGGTGAGCACAAAGGCTCACAGAGCAGAAATGCCTTCGGGCCCCCGGCATGTCAATAGGTCTGCTCAGCTATGCCGAGTTTAGTCATGCATTTTAAGTTTCTTCCTGAACTGGGGTCTTAATTCTTGTGCCATTTTACTGGAACAAAGAGGTCAGATTATTTATAGGTCGGTCGCCTTTGTGTGCACGGAGCTAGCAATGCCTTCAGTGCTCCAATTTCTGGGACTCTTTTTCCCTCCGGCTCTTAAGTCCCAGCTATTCTCTCCTAATGCAATAACAGTAATTATCCTATCGCCGGCCACCGCAGCACCCTGCATTAACGCCTGCCTTACCTAGTGCACAGCGAGGCTGACAGCCAGGTAAACCCCTGTAATTTATAGCTCATCAGAGAAGCCAGCCAGCCCACGGTCTTCCTGTTTTGCAAAGAGACACACTTATCACCCAGACGCTGCTGCGATGGGTGCACTGGAAAGGCAGGAAGATAAACTAGTGCACATGCAAGCTCTGGCCCCATCTCTGTTTGTGTTCTCTGTTGTTTCATCCAGGCATGCAGTCAAGCAAAATCATCATGGCTCAATGCAACCAGGAGACAATATTGATGTGTTTTTGCTTCCCAGTAGACCCATGACATTTCACAATGTAATTGTTGTTTCGCATCCTGCTGCTGAGTGCGGAATGAGAGCTGTGGAGCAGGCCATGCCAGGGTATCTCTGCTAAGGCTTGGATTCAGATGGGAACATTTCAGATGTTTTATGTGACTGGTGTCCTATAGCATCCCATAGGGTGTGCTGTAGGAGGCATGGACTGACTTCACTTTTTTAGTCCTTGTATAGTTTGATGACCAGAGGGCTGGAGCACGTCTCCCGTGGAGACAGGCTGAGAGAGTTTGAGTTGTTCAGTTTGGAGAAGCAGAGGCTCTGGGGAGACCTTACAGGACCTTCCAGTGCCTAAAAGGGGTTACAAGAGATCTTTTTCAAGGACATGAAGTAAAAGGACAAAGGGTAATGGCTTTGAACTGAAAGAGAATAGGTTTAGATTAGATACCAGGAAGAAATTCTTCATTGTGAGGGTGATGAGGCACTGGAACAGGTGCCCAGAGAAGTTGTGGAAACACCATCCTGGAAGTGTCCAAGACCAGGCTGGATGGGCTGTGAGTAATCTGGTCTAGTGGAAGGTGTCCCCGGCCATGGCAGAGGGTTGAAACAAGATATTCTCTAAGGTCCATTCCAGGCCAAACCATTCTATGATTCTATGAAATTCTACATGACAGAACTTGTGGTGTGTCTGCTCTTGAGAGATGTTTTCTTTTACTGCTAGGCTGACACATCCAACAGGATTTGGAGGACAGCAGTACTTGATGAGGACAGATGAAATTAAGAGCAGATCTTGAAAGAATCACTGTTGACACTTATTCCAACCTCATGCAGTCAAGGCCAGACAGTCCTTTGTGTAGAGGGTACAAGCACATACTCATCTGCACTGGAGAGAACAGTCAAGCAAAACCTTCTCCAATACTCTTTGGACTTAGCCTGCTGCTGTTCTTCAGGTAGTGAGGAGCATTTTCTGACATGTTAGAACACCTCAGGATGATAAGCACAAATTCACTAGCAAAGAAATTTGTGGCAGTGTTTTGCTGAGTATCTTTTACATTTCTGATGGTCCCATGACCTCTGAAACTCAGCAGGAACAAAGCTGCAGGGTCACAGTACACTTTCTCTTGACACCTTTAGCTACTGTTTGTGTTTTTGGCTGAGATAAAAACTCTTTTGGAAATTATTGATATCTTTGTTCAGTGCTTTGGCAATCTGAGGAGCCTCCATTACTCAATGATGCTTCAAGCTAGCAATGGTAAGGCCCAGATACCCTTGGATTTGACAACGAACATCTTCATCAGTGAAGTCATACAAAGCGATGTTGTTTTGGTGTGCAATTAAGTTACTAGAGATCTAGTCACAGAGCAGAGCTTTGAACTAAGTAGCTCTCCCTGTTTGAAGCAAATAGGGAGAACAAACACAAATATGTGTGCGTCTGAGGCTCAGTTTGCCAGTGGGCAAGCTGACAAGTGGGGCAACGTTCCTCAGCAAAGCTGTCTTGAGTGGAGAAAGTGGAGGCTTCTGTGCAGGGGAGGCACAGACAGGGGTGTGGAGGTGAGGCATCCTGCACCCCGCCTGCTCGCTCCACATGACTGGGTTGCTCAGTTCTCTGGTTAATCCTGGAGAGCCTTGTAGAAAGATGACTTTATCATTTAGAGGCCGAAAAATATTAAGTGTAAGCATCAGAAACAAACCTGAACTGAAACTTGCAGAGCATTCCAGAAAAAAATGGGGAAAAACTTCTTCAATGTAAGAAAGGAAGAAAAACAAAGTCCGACTGTTGTGCAGTAAATGATATTAAAGATAATTTAGGCATGGCCTGCAATCAAAGGAGTATTTTATGACTGCTCTGGTTTAAGGAAGACAAATCCTAGGGGTAAAAGAAGGCTAATGTTAATGGGAACAGGGATATGGAAATAGAATTGTTACCGTGCTCAAAGAGCAGGCGGTGTTCCTCTTGGGAAGGCAGGTCATGCCTGTCCAGGAGTTCTGGAAAGACCAGCATGAGAGGTAGCACGTCTGCTAGCAACTGTTTTTATAGATCTGCCAAGTCAGAGAGGGACCCCGTGACTGCAGGATATCCATTACAATGTGTTCATTTGTGCAGGGTTAAAAAATAATCCAGCCAACCATCGGCACCCTTGTAACTCTGACCTCACTGGTATGCAGGGCCTTGGAACATGCCTTGAAGGTTAATTAAAAATGCAAAGGCACATCAAAAATTGGATGAAATGCAACTAAAGGCACATCCTGCCAGACTAACCTGATGGTTCTCTTTGATAAAACATATATTTTTCCAGACAGGTGATATCTGCCAGATTTCCTTTATCTAGACTACTTTAATGTATTTGCTGTGATGTCAAGTGAGAAACCACTGATGTTGCTGGAGACAAAATAAATTATTAGCGAAATTGTGTTGTTGGTAAGAGGAGGAGACAATGCGTGCTGAGGCTGGAGATCTCAGGTTAGGAGAAGTTGTCTGTGAGAGTTCTTCAAACAGGAGTTTTGGGACCAATTTTGTTTCACTGTTTGTGTTAATGGCATGCTTCTGGCCCATGTGAGCATTGTGCTGATGAAATGTGCTGCACAAAGCCATGAGGCACTGCTGGCACGGAG